TGTAGTTGCTATGCTTATTGGTCCAAATGCATCTATTTCTTTTGAAAGCAAATATATAGAGCTTCTCACATGACTCATGTTTACGATCTCTACAAGCCTCATCTTGCAAGTGAATATCCGGCTAGGATTCTATCACTTGTTTTTGTTTGTTTGTTTTAGGCATCTAAATAAACAATTTTCTCAACCAGGTACCATTTTGTCTTTTCATAGTATTATATCATCTGTACACATTATAGCTAGGTGTTAATGCGAAACTTTCTCAAACATGCGATTGGGGACCATATAGTTCCTAATAAAAAAGAAGCCTCATATAGTTTGTCTATATATAATTCCTAATAAAAAAAGGCATATATGCAGGTTGGGGACATAGGTGTGTGGTTGCTGAGTTATCTGCATAGTTTTGAACTTCTGATAAGAAAAATCCACCGTCGCCATGCTACTATGTCCTTTTTAAGTGGCCTGGATCCGCTCGTACTTGGTGCAGCGAGATGCATGGCGCTGCGGGAGTTGTGGCGGACATGGACAAATGAATTCACATGATCTTGAGATTGCATGGGACCCTATGTTGTTCACACATAAGGTGTATGATCTTGACCTCGCTGAACCCTGTCTTGGTAAATTTATCAGTTCCTTACATCTGTCTGTGTAACTTTGAACCCAGTTTAGACATACTCAGTTTCATAGGGCAGACGAGTAAGGAAAAGCAATTGATGTTGTTAAGAAGCATTGGGGAAAGTCTGTATCTTGGAATCGCTTATGTCTATTGTTTCAATTGCTTGTATGATAAAATTTATTGCGTGAAGAATTTGCTTTTGCAGTTTGCCTGGTTTAATACTCTATTCATTTACTTTGCAGCTCATAACACTTCTGTTGAAACTACTTGTGAGCGGATGTTTACGCCATTAATGCCGATCATTATATTGGAGGATTTAAAGTAGGTAATATACTATCATGTTTAAATAAATTATCATCTTATTTGTTTAAAGAACCTGCATGTTGTGACACCTGTTGCACCAATTGACATTGTTGACGACATAAAAAAAGAAGCTTGAACTAATATTAAGTTTTGCAATTGAGAAGAGGAGCATGAGGGAATATGATGTGACATGTGAGTATCTTCTCTCTATGTACATCATTGGTAATATCTATTCTCTCACTATTTGTCATACAGTTCCACCAAATGTCACAAGTACCTAATACAAACCAAGGGCTTCCTTTAATAACTATAAGTTTTAGATCACCAAGAAACAAATTCTACACTAATGTTGGTAAGCATCAGATTCCCATGTCACGGCCAAAAAGAGCAAGCACATAGTATTGTAAGAATGGACCATAAAACTAAGCGATGTAGCAGAGGAAGGTGGCAAACCTTAATCACAGCACGACATCCGCTAGCTACTGGTGGATTGAACAATACCTGAAAGAAGAACATAGAAATACACATGTCAAAAAGAGGCCAAGACATGGACTGGATCGAATGCATATCCTACCGGAAAAGAAACAATAGTTGGAGGTTTGCCATCATGGAAGGAGGTGGATAACAACTTTTTGTCAGATTTTATTGGCCACCACACAAATAAATAGAAATCGTAACATCCCCATGATTGATAACAGGAAATAATAATTTCAAATCTCAGAGAGAGTGGCACACACAGAGAGTGAGAGAGAGAGAGGGAGACTTAGACACCATTCATGGCAGTAAAAATGAGTGCAGGCCGCAGAACTGATCATATGGGAAGAATACCCTTCGAAATTATATCCCAAAAGCTAGCCGCAGCCAATACAACTATCAGATATTAGAAAATGGTATTATAGATGTGGTAATGCCTAAAGTGGCTGAACAAATCATGCTCATATGCACATCACAACACAGACACACACCCACGCACGCAATCACAACACAGACACGCACACACGCATGCGCACGCGCACACACCATAAACGTGCTCATATGCACATCACAACACAGACACGCACACACAGCAGCAACAAATAGGCGTGTGGCGCATCGCACGGGGAAGACAAAGACACAACCAGTAGAGCGAGGAGCAGATAGCCACCCTTGCCATCGAGCCGTTCACACAAAAAGGGATCAAAGAGTAGGACGTTTCCTATTCTCAAACCTGCCCATCATAGGGAGTAATTATCAAACAGAGAAACAAAAGGAAAAGAAAAGCAAGAAGTTCCCTTCTTCCACCCGTTTTTTATTTTCTTTCGCTTATATACATCAGACCAACACACAAGCACTTTAACTATTATAAACATAATTCCCAATTCAAGAACACGGTTGAATATTAGAGCACCACATACTACTCTTCGTAAAGTAAAACCGGGCATGCCAAGTCATGATTGTGCTATTAGTCAGTAGGTACATTACAAAGCGTGTTCATGCTAAGAACATCTGCTATTAGATTCTTATAACCACACTTCATGTTTCTATTTTCTAAATTAAAATAAGTGATCTCACTACAGTAAAAAACAAACACATATATAACTGACATAATTACCTCGTGAAGCTATTAGCAGAATATTATGCTATCCTAATCATATTGCCAAATCACAATTGACCGATTCTAGTCTAGGCTTTAAATTTGAAAAGGGAGAACAACTCACCATGGTCTTTGATTTCTTCTTGGACCCATGTTTCCTATCACCAGTCCCCTCCCCGCCGCCTGAATCCTCATTGATCTATGCAAATTTTCAAACGAAAGCATCCAAATAACCAATATGTATATTCAAAATAGAAAAATCAAATTAATAAAAGCTATCTAATTGATGGAAGGATCTTCATTTTATAATGGAATTAACTCTATCAGGCAAACTGTGATGTTTTGGCATCCACGATCAAAACATCAATATAAAATTCAAATATTTAGACATGACAATGAGTCATGATGTCAAAAAAAACAGAGTTTTTCTCATTTATGTGGGACAAAATACATAGTTGATATGCTTAATAATAAGTTAACAAAGATGGCACCCAATGACTCAAACACTAAAGCTTTGGCTTCACCATAACAAATTAATCTTTGCCATGTACAGTCTAGCCCTCAATACCTGGCATCTCATTTTACAATTGAACTCTCTTTTACCTTGGCAAGCAGCAGTAATGTAGTAGTAGCACTTCTTTCTTATGTACTCATGTTGGACAGAACAAATATTAGATACTGAAAACTCATGTTACACATGAAGCCAAATAAGCATTTTTTCATAAACCAAAAGGATAAACTCACCCTGGGGTAGACTGCAATCATCTAATAATCACATCAATCGTGTATAATCTATTCAAACAGATTTGTCGGTCAAATTATGACAATTAGCGTCCACCATGTAGCTTTATTAAGGGTGTTGTTCGATGCCGGGCTGCAAAGCATAAACACGCATTACTGCATTTAAAACTATGCTGCTGAAAAAATAAGTAAGTGGTAAGAATTATGAAAATATACAACACACTTTGCCATGGATTGCAAAAACTAAAAAAGAAAAGGATGCCCAGTATGGACTCTTCTATATGTGCACCTTTTATTTCCTACATGAAGAAGAATAAGAGATGAACCACTAACCTAGCAAGCAGTCAAGCAAACCTGATGGTACTGGTCTCTTGCGATCGAGGCCAATGCGCTTGACTTGGTGCTGCGTGGTACTGCCTTCATGTTGCAAGGCTTTCTTACTCTTGTTGTCCTCTCCCTTGAATGAAATGAACAACAGGTACATACACCATAGAGAAAATGTAAGGAACTGAACATATGACATATCCTTCATCAATTCTTAAATAAAAAACTAAAGTTCAGGTTTTCTCAATGGCTCATAGCCTTCTCTTCAATCCTTGCTTCTCACAAAGAGTTTTCCTCTCCCTCCGATGCAATGAACAACAAGTGCATACACCATAGAGAGAATGTTAGCAACTGAACATATGACATGTCCTTCATCAATTCTTAAAAAAAAACTGAAAATGAAGCTCTTCCCATTGGATCATAGCCTTCTCTTCAATCATTGCTTCTCACAAAGTGTTTTCAGATTCACAAATAACCAAGGAGGCAACCAACAACATATAGTAGCACATAGCAACAACACAAGTAGAGTTAGGCCAAGCAGAGCCAAGCCTGGCAGCAGCAGAACCCACATCAAACACATCTACCAGCATAAAATCAAAAGAGAGAGAGAGGAGGGGGGAGGAAGGAGCTCACCTGCCTGAAGAGACAAGAAGGGCTTAAGGAGGAGGGTCGTGGATGACGGGTGGCTGGGCGGGCTCATATTTAAGCAGTTTTCATTGCTGGCCACAAAAGCTTCATCTAGAGACTGAAATCATAAAAGTTGTGTGCATAAAGACGAAGATAAAATCACTCTAAGCAAGATGAGAACGAAAAATTGAAAAGCTCATTGTACCTATTAAACTAAGGACAGGAATGGCCTTTATTGAACTAACATACTGTACCTAAGAGACTGAGAATCAGGGACAAACTTTATTAAACTAAATAATTGATAAAATTGGGCATTTAGAATTCCTCCTAGATATTTTGAGCAGCAGAGGTCAGATATGTTTCGAGCCCAGTAAAAATATGCATGCTTTCACATGTTTCAGACATATTTAATCTCTTCTATGTGTATGCATACACAGAAACAAGAATGTCTAAAAATATAGGCGTGCATGGAAAGACAAGGACCAGATTCTTGCCTGAATGTCTAAATGAACACACAAGAATGTTGCGCTGGTCAAATCGCCCACCTCGTGTCATTGCTGCCGACACCGTCAGCGTTGATATACATGTACTCCACGACTGTGCTGCTGCCTCTGGTAATCAGCACAAGAACCCGTCACAGTGGATGCTCACAGGAGCTATTGGCATCAAATTAGGAATCATTGTATATAGTTTTTCAAACTATAAGCTTATAAAAAAGCAAATACATCAAGACCAACAAAACAGCCAACGGTTGCAACCATAGCCTAAGTTAGAGAAAGAACAACCTAGCCAGAGTATACCTGCAAGCCAATAGAAGCCATGATGAACAAGGGCTTACCACCCCATCTCCCCTGCAGCTCCACCCCAGTGCGATGGGAGCGCTGCCCCCGCTGCTTCTTGCCCCGGTCACCGGCCACGCTGCTCCTTCGCCCCACCACCGGCCTCCCCTGCTCCTCCACCCCCACCGTCAAGACCCAGCTGCGATGCTACTCCTCAATTTTCCTGCGCCACCCCTCTTCTCCTGCGGATGTGACCCTTCTCTTCAAGGAGAAGCCGGCATGCGGGAGGATCCGGCAGGATCCGGTAGAAGGAGATGAGGAGAGGCGGCGCTGGGCAGAGGAGAAGGAGGAGAAGGGGCGCGGCGGCGGCGGTCGTGATCAGGAGAGGAGGAGAGACGAGGCATGGGGTCTGGAGATCGAGGATGGGAGGGGATTGGCAGCTAGGTTTTCACCTGATTCCACCGCGCACAGAACATACGGGACCCTGAGGTTTCTTCTCAATGTAGCTGTAAAACGGGCCCGTGAAAAAAGGAGCCCCACACGTCATTCACTCAAGCATGAAAGATCAATGTCCAAAAAAACTAACCGCGGGATTTTTGACAGCACTGTAAAATCGGGCCAGCGAGGCAGATCGTGCGGCCAGAACGCATGCGCGCCGCGAATGCCCCTAGAATGGCGGGTACTCTAGCAGCTTTTATATGTTAGATTTGAAGCTGATTAGTATTTTGTTTTACTGATTAGTCAATAGTTATTTCTACACAAGCTTATTACTGTACCGCAAAAGATCTTATTAACCCAAGTTTAGCACAAAATACTTGACTGATGTTATGGTAGTATATAATTACCAATTTATTTTGCAGGATGCCACTTCAATCACAGTTGTAGGCCCACTTTGGACAGGTCCTCTACATGATTGTTCTTCCATTACAAAAATGCTAAACTTGGCTGTGGAATGGGGACGGGCACACACAAGTGAGAATGGTGTCGAAAAACTTCTTGGCGCCATGATTGAGGAGAGTGACCCAAGGTTACCACCTGGATATATAAGACTTGATGAGGTATGTCTTGCAGTTGGAATATGTACTTATTAGAATGTCTATGATGTACAACTGTTGAGTAAAGTCAAGCTAAATTTGTTATGCAATGTCAGATTGCCTGCCGAGAAAAAGTTAACTCTCCACCGCTCGGTACCCTCATTCATTCATTGCAGAAGGTATGCAACTTCTCCTTTTTTGTTATATCTAGTATGATTAATTTGCCAAATCCTAAGGAATTACCAGGGTGCTTCATTTCGGTTCTTATATGGCATAATTTTTTCGATAAAGGACATTTCATTCAATGATATATCGAGGTGATACAAACGCATCGAAAGAATGCCCGGCCTCTGCATAGCACGATGCACACAGCCCATAAGTCCATCCGTCCCAAAAATAAAAAATGTTTTACAACTCAAGAATAAATAAATCTGTCCAGCCTATGATGTGGCAGATCCTAACCGGAGATCACACCGCCATCCATGGGGCTAGAAAACCTCCCTGGCCGTATGCCCCAGCCGCGTAGACGCCGTCATAAATAGGTCCCTGTCGTCCGGCTTCTGCAGGATAGAATTGTGCCAACGCGGTTCAACTCTAAAAATGTTATCATAATTCCTTAATAATATGTATGCAGTTCTGGAACATTCTAAATGTGAACAGGAAGGTTAAGCTGCTTGTAGATCTCATATAGGTGCCAACGCGGTCAAGACCAACTGTCCCAGTCAGTTCATACATCTTGGTCGCATGGGAGATTTGAAATATGCGTTAACCGCCAACTACACACTTCGAAGTTAGATAACTCCACAATGTGTATATTGTTAAACATCCAAAACCAGAAGAGCGCTCATTGGCATTAGTTTGAAATCGGAACACATTTTGCTGTCCTGCACTACAGAAGTAGCAAGTTTCGATCTTGGCGCGTGCAGCTGGTTGTTTCATGCACTACAAAGTTCTTGATAGGACATTATAGCGACTCAGCTGCTTTATTTGTAAACAGTAACGTTCCTTTGTCTTGATGATTCTTCCTTACTACTCCCTCTGTTTTTTTACTCTGCATATTACTGTAGCTTTCTCTTATGCTCTATAAACATTAACCAAGTTTACAGAAAATTTTGTTAACATCTATAATATTTTTTATTCACTCTCATATTAATACAGCTTTATTGAAGATAAAATAACACCAAAAACAGGATTGCTGAAAATGGTACTTTTTGTGGAAAGATAGGGTCGCCATAAGTTTAAGTTTAATTAAGTAAAGTTGAAACCTTTTGATTTTATACTATTTTATTTGGAGATTTATGATTGATACAAGAAGACCTGGTATCAAGCATGCTTGCATCCAGCATACTAGTTTGGATTTTGGAACTAATCCACATGTGTCTACCACGGGCTGGCGTGATTGCAATTAGCAAATACTAGCCGTCAACCCGTGCACCTGCACGGGCTAGCGGCTGTGCTACAAATTATTAATAATTTTAGAGTAAATATATAAGAATTTGAATACCACCACTTAGTGCAAATATTCCAAAATTTTATGATTTTGAAAACCTAATTGTTGTTACACAAAGTTTGCTTTCTTGTAGGGGTTCACATAAACCTTCCTACTTGCGTTTGTATTTATCTTTTTGAAGGATAGAAACGTTGAGTAGAAGAAACTTGTGATTAATATATGCTGGAAAAATGTGTCGTGGCGATAGCAATATACTTTTCTACTAAGGTAATTCAAGAGGTTTATAAATTACAGCTACAACTCCATGAACCATAAAATATGAACTTTTTTTTTACTTTTCATAGAATACCACACTGAAAATGAGTTATAGTGGAAGGTTTATTTTTCAAAATGCCTTTGAGCAGAGTAGAAGACACTAATAATTAGTTGTTGCATGAACGTGAATTAAAGTACTAATTAAATTTTTTAAAATTTGCGAACCAAAAAGTAGAAACCAATGCTCGACCGCCATAACTTGAAATTGCTCAAATATTGCTTGTAATGCTCGGCTTACATAAAAACTATTGGATGAAGCTTGTCAGTATCTTGCAACAATAAGTAATAACTATACTGGGCCATCCATGTAGTAGATAAATCCAATACAACTTAAAATCACAATTATGTTCAATGTCCCAAGAGTAAATCAATTACAATGAAGCATGCATTTACCTCGAAGATGCAAATAATTGCAATGTCTAATATTCACTTCACTGTAAGGAAGTAGTTGTATTGATATCAAGAGGTATCACCAATAGTGCAAGATCTTTTTAAAGGTGATAATTCAAAATACCGGCAAAAATTAGAACCTTTTAGAAAATCTAGCTTGTGGTACTAAACAGCCATAATACACACAAACATCATTTATGAAATTTCAAGGTTTATAATTCTGAATTACCAACATGCCATAGTAAAAGATAAATTAAATGGCTGCACAACCTATGGCAAAGGATAAATTGGATTTTTCTGATAATTTTTCATATATAAATTATTTCATTTGGAGTTACGGTTGAATTTCTATGATTTTTAGAAGTTTATACTATTTTCTGGAATTTCCTAAAAAGAATAAATCCAAAAAATGATTTATGGCATCAGCACCACCTCACTGTGACGTCAGCAGGTCAACAGGCCGGTCCGGGTCAAACCTGACGTGTGGGGTCCACATGTCAGTGACACAGCTAATTAAACAGGGGTTATTGCTAATCTAATTAAAAGATTAGGGCTCCGGGGCCCACTGTCAGTGTCATAGGTGGGGGGGCGGTTAGTGCTAACTAACTCCTGGCCAGTGGGGTTCACCTGCCAGGCCGGCAAGGTCGTCCGGGTTACAGGCCACGGGGGCGGCGGCTAAGGGCATCGGGGCGTAGCCCGGGCTCTCGCGCATCCAGGGGAGGCGACGGGAGGACGCGGGGTCGCTGGAGCTCGCCGGAGTGGAGCTCGGGGTGGCGGCCGAAACACGGCTCCGGGCGGGATGTGGCTGCAGGGCACGGCAGGGGCTGCAGAGGGCCTCTACGGCCTCCTGGCGTCACCAGGAGCACGGTGACGTGCGCGGGAGCGGCTGGCTCGGGTTCTGGTCACGGTGGCGCCATGGACGGCTACATGCTAGTAGAGAAGAAGAGATGGGCAAAAGACCATAGAAAGAAGTCCAGCCAATAAGATTACACTGATGTGGGGCATGAGGCGGTGCCTCATTTATGGGAGCTTGGTCATGTTTAAGCAAGAGAATGTTGGTGGATACATGTGTTATCATTCAACAGGGTAGGATAGCATATTGTTTAGTATCACAATTGTCTCTATAGCCTTGTTGCCAGAGTGCTACAATTCAATCGATCGTTTATTCATCTGATAAATTTGGAGATGATTTCTTTTCGTAAATTATAAGGGCATGCATGGTTTAGTAACCCATATGTATGCTTCCCATGGGACAAGCTAGAGCCTAGAGAATAGAGTTGGCAGGAAAGAGATGCTTGTGGCCAGTGATAACCTTACTTGTACACATCAACATCAGCCTATGTACCCAGCTCCGAAAAAGACCCCCAAATAGAAAATGAAAAAGTCCATTTTACTACCCTAAAGAAACTTGGTGGTTCACATAACTCCCTGATTTTTATTTGGGTTCCCCATACCCCCCCCCCTAAACAACCCCAAACCGACCATAAAACGTCCCCGACTGGTTTGCCCAGACCAGATCCTAATGGGACATGGTCAAATGTGGTATTTGACCTATGGTGGGTCCCTCTCTCCTAGCCACTCTCATTGACTGTTGGTCCCGATCAATGTCGTGCCAGTCAAATATGACACATGGGGCCCACATCTCGGTTGCAAAAGACTAGCAGGGAATTTATTTAGCACTAATTGCATCATTAACAAAGGGGGACCCACATGTCACTGTCTCAAACTAACCTTAATCAACATAAACTAATGACACCACATCGACACAGTCAGGGTTAACCGCCGGTGACCTCAAATCATGGCGGTGTTCCGGCCGAGGCCCCAACAGCGGTGTTAGAGGCTACCAGGTTGTAGCTCTCGCTCGCGTGCGTCCATGGTGGTCACGGGAGGCCATGGGATAGTCGGAAGCAAGCTAGCGAAGGATCTGAGCGGCGGCAAAGCCACTGCTCCGACAACATTGGCGTTATGGCATGAACTCGAGCGAACTAGGCAGATGAGTGGAATCTACGAACCTAGAGGGGGCAGCCAGGTAGCATAACGATGCAAGGGGAGCTCATGTCTGCCATGGCGAACGGCAGCGCAAAGCTCACGTGGACGACGACTACCTCACAAGTGGGAGCTCTAGATGAGAGGGGAAACTGGGAGAGGCTAAGTCACCATGGGTCCAATGGAGAGAAGGCTAGATCGGGGCTCATCTATGCGTGGTAAATCGTTGGTCAGCTCCGGGTTTCTGGATCGAATCCTTTGGTGCAGAGGACCGGTCTGAGATTTTGGAGGCTCTAGACATGGTGGTTTGGCGACGGGTGGCCGGTGGCTACGTCAATGGCGGGCGGCGCTCTGCAGTGTTCGAATCCGAAAGAGGGATGGAAAGAATGAGCTACGGTGCTCCTTGTTCAGCCGCAACACAATGTACAGGTCACCGACAGCAACTACTGGCTCCCCGCACATGTCGCCATCGGTGTCTAGGCCACGTGCATCGCCGGCCGGAGAGGCTCGAGGCTGCAGAGGGAAGGATGAGGAGACCCCGTGGTCAACAAGATAGCCTTGACCGAGTCCAACTCAGCGAAACCACCCAACCAAATTCACTCCAGGTGACTAGTGAATGTGATTGGTTTTATTAAGGTGTTATGTGAATCATTTTGGACTTCAGGGGTTGTGTGAACCATCGACTTTGTTCAGGGTAGTAATACTACATGGACTTTTTTTAATAGAAAATGTTGGCTAATTAAACATGATCTGTGTAGAGAGCGATGTCACGGTCATAAACAAGTAAATGCTAAATTCATTTGACACACTCTGATCTCTTGCTATCGCACTCCGTGTGACCACCACCAACCTCTTGACTAGACTTCTCGCCCTAGCACTTTCTACTATATATACTACTGGCTCCTCGAACGGTGCATTGTTTGGAGTAGGAAGCTTGGCAAAATGTCATGCATCCCCCACAAAGGTAACTAGTCGGCCTCCTCCACAACCGAGACCACCTTTCCCATTGACGCAATGCTAATGATGATATGTAAAGGGGTTGCATTCCTCAATACCTCACATTCCTAGAATGTGGCACACATCCAACTAATTCCTAATTGACATTGTTCTCTATGGATTCTCAAATCTGTATTGATAAAGCAAAGCTAATATAGGCATGAAGCTGGTATTTATGGTAGGGGATTGCAAACACAGATAAACCCAAAGTTATGCCCATATATCTTCTAGTACAAATAAACATGTGATATCTTAACAACCATAGATGCAATTCAGTCGAGTTAGAATCTGCTCCAATTGAATATTATC